CATGTATAGTTCCTTTTATCTCCTTATCTTTCCTGTAATTTTTAGATCTCTGGTTAGATGGCCTGCGGGCATGAGGACAAACTTCAACTATATTTTCTTTTGGACTCAGAGGTGAGATGCTCTATTTATGCCATTAGAAGACCTTCCCTATCTGCTTCATATAGATGTTAAATAAAAGGGGAAAGAATCTTGACTCCCATGGCACCTCATAATGGAAAGCCCTGGACTTGAGGAAGGGGGATGTACAACTTTGCTTCAAATCTGGTGATAACATTCACAACTCCTCTGATCCAGCACCGTGACACCTCTCAGGAGACTTTCAGAAACCAAGAAGGGCAGAAATATAGACTGCAAGTGGATGGAACTGATGTCACCACAAAACCTGTCCCTTCCACAAGACTAATGGGCTCAAACATATCCTGCAAGATGACGACTCAGTCACTTTTATAGGATATGCCAGATAGTATCTCTTTCTGAGCAAACCTGAGTGGTTTTATCCTCCAGATGTCTAACAAATTCCTCATGATTCAACAACCATTCTTCTACCCTGTTCTTCCCTAAAAGGGCATGTGATCACTTTAAACAAAGCAGTCAGATGGCCAACTTGTAAGGTCCTGCCTCAGCTAGTTCTCCCAAGAAAGCAGAACTCTTGAAACTGGCATCATTTCAAAAGGAACTTTTATTGAGAGACAGTGAAAGCGGAGAAAGCAGGCAGTTAAGTGCTGTGGTGCTGTCTGAGGTTTGGCCATCTCCCCTCTCTTCTCGGGTGGAGATCACTTCCACGCTCTGCCTGATCGGTACTGGTTCCGCACTTGATCAATCTCTGCCTCTTCAGCAAGGATGCACCAGTTGTGGAGGCAATCTTGGGCTCCTCTGGTGATGCAGGCATGGTATAGGTTGTTATTCAATCCATCCTTGAAGCAATTCACCAAGATATCTTCCAGTCAACTGAGGTGGCAGGCTAAGTCCCAGAACTCCTCGATGTATTTGGCTACTGGGCACCAGCCCTGTCTCACTGTTTTGATGCAGTCTCTGGCTTGCCAATCAGTCAGGGGGTTCAGCGCTATCATAAACTGGTTGAAATTCCGGAGCTCCAGAGAGTTGGATTATGAAGGGTCACCATCCAGTGGGCTGCGGCTCCCTCCAGGGCTAGGGTGACTATTCTCATCCAAATCCCCTCAGTGGGGATGTCTCACTCATATTCTTGCATATATGTGAGGATGTGAGTGAGGAAAAATTCCTGTTGCTGAAGGTCTCTGTCGAATTTGACGCCTGGGGGGCACCTTTTATTCCTGCAGAGGGATTGTCCCCCATGGGCCCTGCAAGTGTTTGTGCCTCCCTTCAGGGAGGGCTGGCTGACATGGCGATCACCCTCTTGGCCAATTCGGTGGCACTTGCAGCTTTCTCTGGAAGGCAGGATCCCCCGTCTTGTAGGTCTCCTCCTTGTGCTTCTTGCTCTCCCTTTCTAGGTAGGCTACGGCCCCTCGTGTTTTTAGGCTTTGGAATGCTTCCATCAAGAAGTGCATGGCTTGCTTTATGAGGTGATCAGCATGGTCCAATTCTTCATCTGATTCACCTTCATCATAGAGCACTTCCATTTCACACTTCCAGCCATGTCATCAGCTACCATGGGTGAGGGTGACTTCCTTGGCTCTTCCTTCCCAATCCTCCTTCACCACGCCAACAGACTATCTCGGCTTCTCAGGATCTTCCAGGGCAGCAACTTCCTCTGTCCACTCACTGGAGTTTGTGTATGACTGAGTTTTTGTAGAGGTCTCTCCCCAGCATTCAGCCTCTCTGTGCTCACTGTGTAGGTTGGTCATCGTTTGCTGGGTCCCATGGTGGGGGTTGCTGCCACTCCAGACTGACCACTTTGCAAATCTTGCCTAATGTAAGGTCCTGCCTCAGCTAGTTCTCCCAAGAAAGGAGAACTCTTGAAACTGGCATCATTTCAAAATGAACTTTTATTGAGAAATAGTGAAAGCAGAGAAAGCAGGCAGGATCTGAAGCTTCCCATAAAATGTTATGTTAACTCCCATTGTTCAACACCCCTCCCAACTGCCCTGTCCATAGGGAACCAGTCGAGAGGTGCAAAGGTATTGTGAGAACTCCGGAGAGAGGATGCAATAAGGAGATGTTCCCAGGTGTCTTCCCAGGCATCACATCCTTGGTGAGGCAAGGCAGATGGCCCCAGGCTCTTTCCTCCCCCTCCCCAGGAAGGTACATCAAAGCAAAGAGAAACAAAGTAAACAAAGCAAAGCTTAGCACATCACAAAGCTCCAAAGGTCCCTCCTCACATCAGAATGGCAGTGTCCCGACAGGGATCTATAGGGACCTGACACAACTATTCAAGAATAAATTTTCCATAGCAGAAGACACAACTTGCTAGATGTTCCTATTACCCTTATTTATTGCCACTATGATCAATGGATTTTCTAACTCATTATCAGATATATATGACTACAATAAACACATATGCACACTGAAAAGAACCTATAGTATCTTGAATAACTTCAGACAGCCACACAGTTTCAATTTATAAAAATTCAACTCATTTTGTAAAAAAATCAGCTGAGTATGATCTTGGTTGTCTACAGCTTAGTAGAGGGTAGATTGTAATAATCAAAGGAAACTGATGCAAAATCGTTTTACACCATAAATTGTGTAAAGTCATCACTTTAGAATATTATCCCTTTATCCCAGCTGGTGCATGGTTTACCATCAACTTGTGTGACTTGTACCTCAGCTTAATAGCAGTAGAGGTTACTTATTTTTTATCTTGCAAGATTAATGAAGGTATGTATCTACCACCATTTCTGCAACTATTGCTACTATTAGAAGCAAATATGTGACACCAGAATTCCCAACAAATACATGTCCACTGAGTTTAAAGTCACACTATTCCACACTTGGAATACTGCATCCAGTTTTGGTCACCACAATCTAAAAAAGATGTTGAGACTCTAGAAAGAATACAGAGAAGATCAACAAAGATGATTAGGGGGCTGGAGCCTAAAACATATGAAGAATGATTGCAGGAATTGGGTCTGTCTCGTTTAATGAAAAGAAAGACTAGAGCTGACATGATAGCAGTGTTCCAATATTTGAGGACCTGCCACAAAGAAGAGGGGATCAACCTATTTTCCAAAGCACCAGAAGGCAAGACAAGAAACAATGGATGGAAACTAAACAAAGAGAAAAGCAACCTAGAATTAAAGAGGAATTCCCTGACACTGAGAACAATTAACCAGAGGAACGGCTTGCCTCCAGAAACTGTGGTGGCTTCATCACTAGAGGTTTTTAAGAAGAGACTGAACAATTTGTCTGAAATGGTATTGGAACTCCTACTTGAGCAGGGGGTTGGACTAGATGACATCCAAGGTCCCTCCAACCCTGTTATTTTGTTATTCTAAAAAGATACAATTGAAAGTGTTTAAGACAAGGGTCTTCAGTATTCATGTTTCATTCTACGTTCCTCTTGCAAGAACACTGCAGGGGCTTGTCCAGACCATTTCCAAGAAGCAGACATGATGGGGTGCGGGGGAAGGAATATACCAGAAGTCCTTAATTATTTATGACCACAATTGATCCTAAATTTCCTTTGCTTAGCAAGGCAGTTGTTAAATGAGTTTTGCCCCATTTTATGATCTTTTTTGCCAATTATGAAACAAATCATTGCAGTTGTTAATGACTCATCCTGTCATTAAATGAATGGCTTCCCCCATTGTCTTTGCTTGTCAGAAACCAGCTGGGAAGGTTACAAATGGAAATCATGTGACCCCAGGACAGTGAAACTGTCATAAATATAGGTCAGTTGCCAAGCGCCCAAATTTTGATTACGTGACCATGGGGATACTGCAATGGTCAAAAGTGTGAAAAGCGGTCATAAGTCACCTTTTCCAGTGTGGTTGTAACTTCAAATGGTCACTAAACGAATGGTTACAAATCGAGGACTATCTATATACCTGTATTGCTACACCTGGAAATAGGATAATTGGGGTTGCACTGTCAAGTACATTAAAATCAGATTCAGATTCAGAGAGTTTTCAGCAACTTTTTTGTTTGCTACAAACCAACAAAAATAAATGAAGCTTTTTCACGTGTGAATGTTGACAGATCTGAGGAAAATGAACTGTCCAACCTTGATATAATTAAGAACCTAATGAACTTTAGTCCCCAATTAAACTCTGCACTACATGGCTGCCAAATCCAAGAGAAATCACCACCCCATAACTGTTCTACTCCCATCGATATTTTACCTCATTCCTCATTTATCTCAAACTTTGAAGGCCTTTTGGTGCTTCCCTTTTAATCCTATACTCTCTTCAAGTTAACCCAAATCTGAGAAGTTTCATACAGACCTGCTGCTTAATTTTTGGGGAGATATCTTCTAAAAATGGTTTGGCTGCTAACATATACAATTGATGTAAAGAGCTAATTCCCGGAGATGTTCTTGTATAGTAAAATGAGATACATAGCACAGTCCTGTTCTAGGCAAAGATTTGTCCAGTTGATTTCGATGGAACGTGGTTATATTTAAGAAACTGTGCATCATTGGACCTGCTGAAAATTCAGTATAATATTTCTCCAGGTTATAGAATGGATAATATGATGCTTGCAATAATAGCAAAATCAATAATATTTTATGTAGCAGAGAAAATTAACGTATATTAAGATAAATAAATGCATATAAGAACAAAAAAATCAAGAGGATTTAAAACAATTACCTTACCTGAATTACTATTAGATCATCATTATTTAAATTTAAATCTTGACCAGTTACATTTGGATCCTTTGCATTATAATCTTCTTTAATACACAGAGTATCTGAATCATTTGCTTTGGAAATATTAAAGTGATTTCCCTTGGCATCTGCAGTCAGAGAAACCTCCTGGCAGTAAGAATGAAGAAATGCTCGGACTCCGTTGATGCCTACAAATTGTGAGGCAGGTACACCACTGAAATTTATCTTCCCAGAATCCATCTGTGAATTCCTCCACCTGTACAATCTGATGGCCAATAAGACAAGGAGGAAAGTAAAAAACAAGCAGGAGACAAACGCCACTGCAATCACCAGATAAAATGTGAGGTCTGACTGAGGATCTACAGGAACTGAGATGTTGCTCAGATCTGAGAGAATTTCAGGGATGTTGTCAGCCAGAACCACCGTGAGAGTGACCGAGGCAGAGAGAGGCGGCTGCCCATTGTCCTTCACTAAAACCACCAGGATTTGCTTCAGGGCATCTTTCTCCAGAAAAAGCCGAGCAGTCCTGATCTCGCCAGTGTGCAGTCCCACGGTGAAGAGCCCTGGTTCTGTTGCTCTGATCAGCTGGTAGGAGAGCCAGGCATTCTGGCCAGAGTCTGCATCTACTGCCACTACTTTAGTGACCAGGTAACCTGGCTCAGAAGAGCGAGGGGCCAGCTCTATCCCAGTGGAGCCATCAGCAGGAGGGGAGGGGTGCAGGATCTCTGGCACATTGTCATTCTGGTCCAGGATGTAAATAATAACAGAAACACTAGAGCTGAGCGATGGGGATCCTCCATCCTGAGCCTTGACCTGGAACTGAATCTTCTTAAAAGTTTCATAATCAAATGAGGTTAATGCATAAATAGCTCCTGTCTCAGAATTAATGGAGAGGTAAGAGGAGAGAAATGATTCAGCTGTCTGGTTTCCAGTGATAGAATATCTTATTACTGCATTCCTTTTCCAGTCTGGATCATTCGCTTTTAAGGAACATATAAAAGCACCCATTTGGTTATTCTCTACAACATAAAAAGGATAAATTGATTTCTGAAACAATGGAGGGTTGTCATTTGTGTCTAGGATGTGTAGTTCAATCACTGTGGTTGTTGAGAGAGAAGGCGTTCCATGGTCAGTAACTATTATGGTTATATTAAAGGCTGATATCTGTTCTCTGTCAAGGGCGTTATCTGTCATCAAACTATAAAACTCATCAGAGGACTTCTTTAATTGGAAAGGGAGGTTGTCTGGAATGGAGACTGTGATTTCTCCATTGACTCCAGAATCTCTGTCTCGTACATTTAAAATTGCAATAACAGTTCCAGGTGGTGAACTTTCAAGTACGGAATTGGTGACAAAAGTAATTGCTAGTTCAGGTGCATTATCATTCAAATCTGTAATGAAAATAACAACCTTTGATCTATCAGTAAATCCTCCCCAATCTTTGGCCTGTACTTCAAATTCATAGAAAGTAGATTCTTCGTAATCAAGATTCCCAATGAGTGTAATTTCACCCGTTGTGGAATTAAGGTGAAATATGGGAACATCCAGTTTTGTAGTCTTTTTCAGGGAATATTTCACCTCTCCATTAAGCCCTTCATCAAGATCAGTGGCATGTACAATAGCAATAATAGATCCTTTAGGAATATTCTCTTTGACATTCACTTCATAGATTGGTTGGCTGAAAATCGGTGCGTTGTCATTTGCATCTAAAACAATAACTTTGATTTCTGCAGTGCCAGTTTGGATAGGATCTCCTCCATCACTAGCTGTAAGGATTAGATTGTAAACAGCTTGTTCCTCTCTGTCTAGAATTTTTTCCAGTATCAGTTCAGTATGTCTGAAACCATTTTTTCCTATTTGTGTATCCAGAGAAAAATGGCTGCTGCCTCTGAGTTGATAGCTCTGTATAGAATTTATTCCCAGATCTGGATCTTGAGCTTCAGAAAGAGGGACCCGGAATCCAGGTATAGATGCCTCACTGATTTCCAACTCTTGTTCCCATAGAGGGAAATGAGGAACATTGTCATTTATGTCAGTAATTTCCACCTCAATTGCATAAAGCTTTAACTTACTTTCAAGAAGAATCTGGAATTTCAATATACACTTCTCTACCTGTCCACATATTTCTTCCCGGTCAATTCTCTCAGATGTTTCTAAATGACCACTGTTGACATTGAAAGCAAAATATTGGATCATACCTACATTGGGAATAATGCGGAGTCCATTTTCTGAAATCTTCATCCCTTCCATTTCCAGGTCCTTTGCAATATTTCCCACAAAAGAGCCTTTGTGCATCTCCTCAGGAATCGAGTAATGAATCTGCCCAGAAACTATCTTGCAAGCAAACATAATAGCAAAGTATTGCAGGATCCTCCTTTTACAGCTGCAGGTTTGTGTGCCTTCCATTCTCTCGATGAAAACAGCTATTTCAAAGCCAAATGGAAAATGCACCTCTTGGTTTTTAGATTGTTCTTTCATTTACTTGGTAAACGTACTGTATGTAAAGAATAGCAACACAGGACTCTTTTGTCTTTTGATTTCTTTTCCTTCCTGGTGAACAGTGACACCCAGAGGCTCAGCTCAGAATGACAGAAAGCTTACTATACTATGAACACCCAAGTGTTGTTTGACATTGCTACTAAAAAAAATGAGTAAAAGTGAAATCATATCTCATCTATTATATAAAGAAGTTTTTGAAATAAAGATATGAGGAGGAACTTCATGTTTATTTCTATATTTTTCCACTATATACAGGACCTACTCAATCCAGCAGAAAGGAACCAGGCAGGGCACTGTGATTCCTATATTAAATGGACTGGCTAGAATAAATATTTTGTATTTTACCAAGCAATATCCTCCAGTGGGTTTTCTAAGGAGATTAGAAGGGAGTCAAGAATTGGAAAGTGCTGGTGCATCTTGTTTAATTGAAGGTAGCTAAAACCAAAAATCTATGCAAATGTTTAATATGAATAGCTTGGTATACACTACATATTGCATTAAGTTAATGCTTCTCATCTTCTACTCATAAATTGTCCTCTCCCCTGTCAGGCTCCTCATAATAGGGTACAAAGAAGCAAGAATTACAGAGACTTCAATAAGCTGTTTTAGTGCACAGATTATAGGTAAAGTATAGAATTTTGGAACCTGCTCCTGTAGTCTTTATTATTAGGGGATTCATAAAGACAGAGTATTTATGAATCCCCTAGCATGGTCTCATTTCTTTCTCAGCTTCCCCACAGTCCCTCACACTCATCATTTTCTCATTCACTTCTCCTCCTTTTATCCCACGACATAACTTACTTCCTTCCTTCCTTTCCTTTCCTTTCCTTTCCTTCTTCCTTCCTTCCTCTTTATTTTCTTAACACTAGCCTTGATCCATCTCATCCCTCTAAATCTCATGACTTCTTCTGTTTACTATTTCTATTCTGTTCTTTGTTCTATGTTCATATTTTTGTATACACATTCATGGTCTTCAGTACCATATCATCGTCTTTATAAGCAGCTTCATTAAACCCATTAAGCTCATTAATAGCAACCCATTGGAGGATGTGACTACAATTTAATTTGCAAATTTCTTAGACAGGATATTCCTCCTTTTATAAGAATCTACTTCATTATATGGAACACTTTTTTATTCCAATCCCTGGTTTGATAGAGAATGTATGGTTAGAAAATGAAAACAAGGATCCTATGCTTTCCCTACCACAAAGACCTTCTTAGGAATCAAGAAGAAAAGTCATGGCTGGAAGGACCTCTGGCATCAATTAAGTGAAGTTTCTAGACCTAAATATACAGCTGAGTTTTGTCATGTGAGATCGGACTGTTGGCAGAGTAAGGGGATGGTAGCTACCAGGGAAAATTATTGTAACTTTGTGTTAGCTTTTGGTAATTTCTGAATTACTTCTGATTTGCTTCATTTGGACAAACTGGTTGGAGTTAAAAGTGGAGAAAACCTCTAGAAGAGATCATCTGTCTACTGAAACTGTTTCAAGGAACAAGCATTCTAGCAATTTCATTTATTCTTCTGTTTTATTGCTTTAATAGCCTCTGAATCTCCAGTGGCTTTGGATGTAAAAGAAATAACATTTCATGGAGGGGAAGACAGCAACTCAAAAATTTAGCAAAATAAATATGCATAGTATACAAGAAATTGAGAATAAGGAACTACTAGTTCAATAAATTTTGAAGGGATATACATACTTTGGTGAATTTAATAGAGATATCTCAAGTTAAATTACAACCTTTAAAATTATATTATTATGAATCATTTCCCAAGATTTGGAGCTTTATAATATTACCATCACATATGAAAGGGTCCAACCTGCTCATTTAATCTTTGGCATTATTTAGAGAAAGAAGTATTCATTTTGACAATCAGAGTGGGGTAATGTGCCAACAACGCAGATAGTGCTCACTTAACAATTTCTCACTTCTTGCTGGTGTTGAAGGAAAAATCTTCATCAGGATCCAGTCCAAGCCAGGAATAAACAAACATGGAGACTGCTTTAGAAAGAAGGTTGTAGTTTATTGAAGAGGAGAGTCAGACAGAAAGATGGCTCTGGAAAAGAAAACTGACCATATGTAGTAGAGAGTGAGTTTTTAATACCTTCTTGGGCTTTTGTTTGGATTTGTTCCTGGGGCATGAACTTTGACCTGAATCTGAGTGTGCCTTTCTGGTATTCTGATGGTGGTGGGTTAATCCTATTATGTCCCAAAGGTCATATCCTACTTCCCTGGGGCTGGGGCTGATGACTGTTGGATTTTTTTGGTATGAGGGATTGTTGATTCTAGGGATCTTTCTTTCTAATCCCAGCTTCCTGACTCCAATCTTTCTGACAAGATTATCACCTCTGCATTTCTGCAGACCTGGTTTCTTCTTTGGGGCAGAGAGACTTGGGGTGTGTGTGTTGGTTTCTGCCTTTAAAATCCTTTGGGGAAATATATTCTGCATTTTTAATATTTCCCAAAATATTTTTCTCTGGATTCTTCTCACACTGGTTTTTTGATAGACTTTGCTTGTGGGAAGCTAGCAGGGAAGGTTGCAAATGACAATTATATGACTATGGAATGCTGTGACATCATAATTGCAAGCTGGGTGCCAAGTGCCCAGATCACAATCGCATGACTGCAGGGATGCTGCATAGGCAGTAAATATGAGGATTAGTCATACCACTCATTCAGCACTGTTATAAGTTCAAATAGTGTCTGAACAAGTGATCATTAAATGGGAACCACCTATAAAACATAGTAAATTTCTCTAACTACGGTATTAGAATATATTTTCTTCTGCTGAAGTTCCAACTGTGGTATATCAATATCTGTGTTCATGTTCTGCATCAGTCTTTAATGCTCATACAGTCTTTAGCTTATTCAGATTCTAAAACATAATAATTTATAAATTATATTAACAGATATTCAGTTTGTATATTATAAGATTTTCAAATTCAGTCAAACTTCTTAATGTTTCTCCTTGTTTCTCTGGTTCCTTTGTTGCAGCTACTTATTTGAAGATACTGAAACCAATAAAATATAGTAAAGCACTGTGTAATATGAGATTCAAAAGTTTTAGATCATAAGAATCACAGAGCTGGAAGGGACTTTGGAAGTTCTGTAGTTCAGACCGATGCTCAAGATAGGAGATCTTATATATCCTGTCCAAATGTTTTTTCTTTATCTTTAAAAATAAAGTCTTGCTGCCTAAATAAATTACTCTCTTCACTGAGCAAACTGTAATGTTCTCTTAATTATTGTTTAAAACTATTATTCTCCCCATCCATCTGGTCAGTAGTTTATCCAAATCAGATAATAGTTTGTCATGTCAACCTTTCAAAATTAGAAATACCAAAATAGTTAATAATCTAAATCTACCAATACATCTATAAAAAATCTGATTTTTCTCAATTATGAGTGACAACATTAATAAGACAAGAGGCTCTCAAACTTTGTAGTGCCACATACCACTAATATTTCAGATAAAACTGTTTTTTTTCATTACTTTGATATTGCAAATTCAAGAATCTGATTCAAATCTAATCCAGTTTAACTAAAAGTAAATTAAGAATTGCAGACGTTTTGGAATGTAAAGCTGACAGATTTTTTTTCCAATATAAACCATGCCCTAGAAAAGAGATAAAGAGATAAAAGCACAATCTCTCCCTTGAACATGGATGGTGAAAGAATGAACAGTAGAAGAGATCTCTCCTTCTTTAATTCCCGTCAATCATTTTTAATATTGCTGGCACAATATACCATCAGATAAAGTAATTTTAAAGCTTTACTAATTAAGAGATCTTAAATCGACTGGCTACACTTCTATTTTCAGTAAGGTTAGCTACTATAATTTTGCGCCCAGGGTCCTACAAAACTAAATAGGCTTAGTTAGATTTTAAAACATGGGGAAAAATTTCACACATCAATGCCAGTTATGTACACCGAGTGCCACTATTGTCAGTAGAATTAGAACTAAGGTGTTTAATTTTTCCCTACTCATTTTCCCTATTCATTTCAGGAAGAGCCTCCTGGAAGTTCTGAGCAAAGACCAGGTTGAGGCTAGTGGTGGCCAAGAGAGGTGGCTGTCCATTATCCCTCTCCATGATGACCAGCCTCTGCTTGGTAATGTCTCTAATGGCTAATGCTCCAACACTGGAAGTTTTTAAGAAGAGACTGGACAGCCATTTGTCCGAAATGGTGTAGGGTTCCTGCCTGAGCAGGGGGTTGGACTCGATGACCTCCAAGCTCCCTTCCAACTTTATTATCATTAGTATTACTATTATCTCTCCTGTTTGAGCCAATGATGAAGAGTGAGGGTTTTGTGGCCTGCAGGAGGTGAAAAGAGAGCCAGGCATTGTGTCCAGAGTCAGCATCCACAGCCACGACTTTTGTCACCAAGTAACCCAAATCAGCTGAGTGAGGTACCACCTCAAAGAACAATGAACCCTGAGTTGTCTGGGAAGGGTACAGGATCTGGGGAGTATTATCATTCTAATCTAGTACACACACTTTGATCATGGCGCTATTATTGAGAGATGGAGAGCCTCCATCCTGAGCTTGCACTTGCAGCTGGAAGTCTCTGAGCTGCTCATAGTCAAAAGATCGTTGAGCATAGAGAGTTCCAGTCTCAGAGTTAATGGAAACGTAGAAGGAGAGAGGCAGGTTCTTAACGTTGCTGTTAAGCATGGAATAGGTGATTTGGGCATTACGATCCAGATCTGGGTCAAAGGCCTTGAAAATAGACGTTCCAGATGGGTTGTTCTCAGGAATGTAGGCGACATAGGAAGGTTTTTCAAATGCTGGAAGGTTATCATTGATATCTGAGATTGGTACTGAGTTGGTTTTATCTGTGGAAAGAGGAGGTGTGCCTTGGTCTGTGGCTGTAATTGTTAAGTTATACACCGGTGTTTTTTCTCTGTCAAGGGGACCATCTACGAGGAGCTTGAAGTAGTTATCTGATGATGAGATCACCTGGAAAGGTACAATTTCCCTTAGGTAACAGGTGACTTCCCCATTAAGTCCAGAATCTCTGTTGTGGACTTTGATGAGGGCGATCACTGCTCCAGGCAGAATATCTTCAAGAATGGGGCTGGACAGAGATGTAATAATTACATCCGGAGCATTGTCATTCTCATCAAGAACTTCAATCTCTACATTGCAATGTGCCACTAGTCCACCTCCATCACTTGCCCATATTATCATCACATAGCTTTCTCTGTCTTCAAAGTGAAATTATAATTTGTATCAATAACATTGATGTCCCCGTTTTCACTGGACATCCTCTATCTGAAGCTATAAGAATCAAGTGATGTGTGTCCTCCTTTTCTCTGTCCAGCGGCTTTTGCAAAATCAATTTTGCATATTTGCCACCATCATTGCTCTCTTTCTAGTTTGAAATACAGGATTGAGCTCAAATGATAATCTTGAAGTGAGTTGATTCCAATGTCCTCATCTTCAACATTTCCCTGGCAAATGAGACTCACTCATTTTGAATTTTATATTTTTTCTTTGAACTGTGGGACAGTATCATTAATATCTAGGATGAAAACTTTTATGGGGAAAATATTTAAAGGATTATGTGCCACAACTTCTAGTTTCAGGATGCAAGTAGATAATTTTCCACAAATCTTTTCCAGGTCTATTCTGTCATTCACACATAGATCACCATTTTGCTCATCCAGAATAAAACACTGTTTTTCTGAAGAGATAGCACACTTTTGACAGCAGATCAACATTCAACCCTAAATCTTTAGCAAGGTTCCCCACAAAGAATTTTTTTTTCTGTTTCCTCTGAAGGTGGGTTCTGAACCTGCTCAGGTACCACCCAGCTGATCGAAGAATATAATAATAGAAAAAGTACTTGCCTCAAATTTGGTTCCTGTATTCTGGTTTTATATTTTGCTTCCATCCTCATCTTTTTTTTCCTCTTTTCTTCCTAATTTGTTTTCCACGTAGAATTCCCCAGCTAACCCAATATTTTACAGTAGGATCATAAAAACAGAATCCTTTGTGAAGCAGCTTTTAACATAATGCTTTCTACTGCATCTCCTTGTCCATCAGCTGAAATATGGAAACGGTTTGTTTCAATACTTATCCATGCAGCGCCCTTGCTGTCCAACAATGACACTCAGAGTCCATATTAAGAATTTCACCAAGTCTCTGCAGGGCTGATATTTTTGGATGCTGAAAAAGCCTTTGACCAATTGAACTGGCAGTTTATGTTATCTTTAATCAAGGAGATGAATTTTGGACAAAATATATTACAAGCTTTATCTAACATATATCAAAAACAGACTGCTCAACTTATTGTTAATGGGGGTTTGTCAGAGGTTTTCACAATAGAAAAAGGTACAAGACAGGGATGTCCATTATCTCCGTTATTATTTGTTTTAACATTGGAAATTTTGTTGATTAAAATTCGGGAGTCTCAAGAAATAAAAGGAATAGAGATTAATAAAAAAGAATATAAGTTAAGAGCTTTTGCAGATGACTTGGTTGTTACTTTGTCTCAACCTACTTACTCGGTAGTAAAATTATTACAATTGATTCATCAATATGGGTGTGTTTCGGGTTTTAAAATTAATAATAATAAGACTAAAATATTACCCAAAAATATGACTAATTGCGATAAACAGACCTTGGTTAACTTAACAGACTTTGAAGTTGTTGATAAGGTAAAATATTTGGGGGTCATATTATCTGCTTCTAATGTAAAATTGTATAAAAACAATTATGAAAAGTTGTGGATTGGGGTACAGAAGGATTTAAAGAATTGGGATAACTTACAGTTATCTCTTATGGGTAGAATTGCAGTTATCAAAATGAATTTTCTACCAAAATTTCTTTTTTTGTTTCAAATGTTACCTATCTTAAAGAATGAACTTAATTTAAATGAATGGCAGAAAGGTATTAACAAATTTATTTGGGCAGGGAAAAAACCAAGGGTAAAACTTAAAATTATGCAAGATTTTTGTGAGAGAGGTGGACTCAAGGTACCAAATTTGAAACTATATTATGACGCTGTGGTCTTAACATTGATTAGTGATTGGATGAATTTAACAAATGTAGAAATACTCCATTTGGAGTGTTGGGATTTACTTTTTGGATGGCATGCCTATTTAATTTTTAATAAAAAAGTGGATCGGGTTTTTAAATCTCATATTATAAGGATTTCTTTGCTTAGGGTGTGGAGGAAATATTATAAAAGTGATTATAAAATACCATTATGGGCTATACCTTGGCATGCGATAGAGGGGATAAAGAGAGGAGTTAAGATGGATACGGTTTCCTATATACAACTACTTAGATGGGATGGTCAAAATTGGCAGTTAAAATCTTTGGAAGATTTAGTACATGAAAACATTACTTACTCATGGTTTCAATATAGACAAATAGTGGATAGATGGAAGACGGATTGTAATATGGGTTGGCTAAGAGAAGATGAAAATCTTTTTAAACAAGTAAGGGATCAAAGACCAACTCATATTAAGAGGATTTATGGGGTTTTAGTGGAAATGGATTCAGAATCTGAATTAATCAAAGATTGTATGATTAAATGGGCACAAAATATTGGTGAACCAATCCCATTGGATACTTGGGAACTTATCTGGGTGAGGAATGTTAAATTTACACAAGCGCAGAACTTAAGAGAGAATTTTTATAAAATGTTTTATAGATGGCACCTTGATCCACAAAAAATGTCTATTATGTACCCTGATCTACAGCCTAAATGTTGGAGATGTGGTTGTTTGGACGCTACTTATTATCATATTTGGTGGTCGTGTAAAAATATAAAAGCTTTTTGGATTAAGATATGGTGGAATATTCAAAGAATCTTTAGAAGGAGGGTAAAATTTACCCCGCAATTATTTTTATTAGGTATTGTTACTGATTGTGATGCTAAGGAAGTTATATTGATGTTAAATTTGATTACAGCCGCAAGGCTGTTAGTAGGACAATATTGGAAGAAGGAATCTTTGCCTACTTTACAAGAGTGGTTTTATAAAGTTTCTTACTTGGCGGAAATGGCAAAGATTTCGGCTTTCTTAAAGGAGCAATCTCAAGAGAAATTTTTTGTTGTATGGGAAAAATGGATAAATTTTATACAATATAATTTGGATATGGAAAAATATCATTTAGCTTTTTCATAACTTGTATAGATTGTTTTTTTTCTTTTCCCGTCTTTTGTTTTCTCCCTTCTTTTTTTCTTTTATTTTTTATCTTTCTTTCTTTTTCTTTTTCTTTCTCTCTCTCTTTCCTCTCTTTTTTCTTTCTTTTTTAAGTATTTTTCTTTTTAATGCTTATGTCACATATATCTTATTATTAATTATTTTATAAGTTGTAAAAATTTGTTTAGGTTTTTTAAAATTTTAAATAAGCCTATATTCAGTTCTGGGAAGTTCGGGGAGGGGGGAGGGAGGGGTGGGTTTGGGAGGGATTGGGTGAGGGTTGATTTGTTTTTGGTTGTTTATTTGTAAAACTTTTAAAAATCTTTCAATAAAAAAAAAGAATTTCACTAATTTTGCGCTCTCTCTCTCTCTCTCTCTCTCACGATAGAGAGACAGACATAGTAGATTAGATAAATAGCAAAGAAATTCTTCTAAACTCTGTTTTCATGATGGATGCTCAAAGAGCAAAGCCCTGATTTTTTATGACAAAAACACTACAAAATTCTATAGTCAATTGAGTTTTATTGTACTGTTTATTGCCTTGATGCAGATTCTGAAAGCAGCTATTGCATTGCATTGCATTGCATTGCATTGTATTGTATAGGTTTGACAACTTGATCTTTTATCAAGTTTTCAATTTTTTTCAGAGAGTTTTCATTTAAAGCTATTTGATTAACTTCTTTACCTTAAAAATTGGTTGTGTTGTATTTAAAGATGTTTGTATTACATTGTTTTTTATAAAAAAAATACCTGATTACAGAACCTGTAATACAAATTATCTTCTTTTCCAAAGAATTGGAATCAACAGCAATTATATGCATTTAGTTGATGAGTCTCTGAAGGCTTTATAGTAAATGATCTCATAAATTCCCCCTTTTTTCAACCATAAAATAGAGATCAAAGGGTTTACAAATTAGTTGATTGAGAAAGATAGTTCATTCAGTTAAGAACTGATGAGGATTATTAAAAATATTCAGTTAAGGGAAAACAGATCTTGAATTTATGAAAGAGACAAAACTTGATTTTCTTGTTTTTTTTAGTCAATATAAAATGATGACCCAAGCAGGGATATTTTAAAAGGAACTGCTATCATCAAACTTTTTCCTGGTTTGAATATTCTTTTGTTTTTTCCTCTATTACTTTATATGTACAGTATTCTAAGAAAACATATTTAGATTGAAGGTGGGGAAAATATAGCATAGCACTGTCATTATGTTAACATTTACAAAGAAATAAAATTAACCATTATTAATACTTTAACATGAGTTTTAAAAAGCTTCCTTAATATTGCAATTATATCTCTAAGCTGCCAATCCTTGCCTTCCTTGGCATTAAATATATATGCATAAACTGTCACTCTGAGGTTCCCTCCAATGTATCCTTCTACCCCTACTCCTCAAATCCCTCATTCCTCACTTTTACTTCCCTCTAGAAATATAAACTAGGAAGAAGTGCCTTGCATTAGTGTGCTTTAAATGGTAGTTCTAATATCATAATTGTTGTGTCCTGAGCCTGCAAAAGCAGGCTCAGAACGTTGCATTAGTCCCGGGCATTCCAAAAGCTGCTCTGGACCAGACAGAGCGGCGCCAGCCTTGGCGCATGCGCAAGGTGCGAAAACGCTCTGTTCGCATTGGTTGACATTGTCCGGGTTTCTGGCCATATAAAAGGCCTGCATGCCTTTTGTGCTTTGCTTGGGTGTTGTTAGAAGGAGAATAAAGAGTTGTTCAACATCGCTATGTGTCTTCATCATTTGCACACGAACGAAGTATACAACACTGGCAACGAAGGTGGGATCCTTTGCAAGCTTAAACGAGCGTTTTAAGGACTTACCAGGAAGTGCTGAAGAGGGGAAGACGGCGTCTGAAACAGCGTCCCAGCCTGCCAGTACAGTGTCGCTGGAGGGTGAGCTCAGCTAAAAGACCCTTTCCCCAACAGCAGTTTGCAGAGGAGCGAGTGGTGAAGGTCGTAATAGTATGATGGCGAAGATTGGCCGTTTGTCTGATTTTGATGTCTCACACCCAGAGAGGTGGAATTCTTATGTAGCAAGGGTGGAGAATTACTTCAGAGTAAATCAGATTAGAGAAGATGGTTTGAAGGCTGTAACTCTTTTGTGTGTCTGTGGACAGGAAGCTTTTGAAATCGCAGAGAATCTGGTGGCCCCTGCACCTCTGGAGTCAGTAACATATACTGACTTGAAGAAATTGTTGAAGGAACACTTCCAGCCAAGTTATCTGCTATTGCTTGGAGGCACGCATTCGAGCAGAGAGACCAGAGGCTGGGTGAATCTGCTGAAGATTTTATTACGGCCTTAAGGCGAGCAGCCAGGCCTTGTGAGTTCAAGGATCTGGAAGAGAGGCTGCGAGATCACTTCGTATGCAGTTTAAGGAAAAGAGACTTACAACAGAAGACTTTTGCAAAAGAAGATATCTCTTTCCAAGACGTGCTACAAGAGGTGACAGCTGAGGAAGCAGCAGGCAGGGCTGTGAAGGCCTTACGGCTCACCAAGAACCCTCCAAACACAGCTACCGTCCATCAAGATGATGCTCAAGAAGGATCAGAAGTGGATCCTGAAGAGGAGGTCGACAGAATTCAACAGCCAGCTGAGAGGAGGCAGAAGGGATGTCTGGTCAAGGCCCCAGCATCTCTTCAATGCTTTGGGTGTGGAGGACGCCACAAGCGAGCTGACTGCAGGTTTCGCTCAGCCATATGCAGGGCGTGTGGCAGGCAGGGCCACATTGCATCCGTCTGTTTGGGGCGCCAGAAGGTTCAACCTCAGGAAGAATTGCTTCAGAAAGGTACCAGGGGCCTCAGCCAAAACAGGGTGGGTTTCTGCGCATCGCGCAGGAGTATTCTAAGAACAGGGTCACACAAGCCCCTTAAGAAGAAACTTGCCATTAACATAAGGTTGCAAGGGGTTCCCCTGTCAATGGAGTTGGACACTGGGCCCACTCTCTCAATTATTTCAATTAATACA